ATTCTAAGATTTGATTTACATTTCTAATTAAAGTTGTTTTTGATCATACGTATAGATAATTATATTAAAATTCCAAAATTCTAAAATTTCAAATACATACAAAAACAATCATATGTAAATTTTAAATTTGTGAATATTAAAATTTTATATTTTAATTACATATATTCACCCTGCGCAAGGCGCAGGTCTTATCCTAGTATACCATAAAAACAAATACCCGCCCAGTCGGGCGGGTTATGATCTAGTTTTATCTATTATTTACAAAACCCTTAAACACCAACTAAGCTAATATTGTAACCAAAATGTGGCCTAAAATTTAAAGCCATAGTAGATTTAAGGAAGAAAAAAGTACACCACAAAATCTTCGACTAAAAAAATATTATTTTCCAAGATATACAAGATTTTTTTTCTTCAATAAATGCAAGTTAAGTATAAAGCTGATTAAAACGATGAATATTATTGGTAAACTCTATTTAATACAAGTTGGTCATTATTTTCTTTTCGATGAGTATTGGTAAATCGTCCGTAGTCGTTTACAAAAGATCGAATATGAAACAAAACACTATTGCTATTAATTATAATAAGATGTTACAAGGAGTACAAACTAAAACCAAAAGCTAGGCACCGCACCATATATATTATAAGATCTCAGTTAACTTGGACAAACTCTAATTACAACACCATGTTGAGGCTCGACAAGCATTCTGAACACTGGAGAGTGTTGGTATGTGGGAGACAGAGTAAAACTAAACCTTGACACAATAAGAGACACAAGAACCTTGAGCTCCATCATACCAAAGTTTTTCCCTAAACACAACCTTGTCCCTAAGCCAAATGGGACAAATGACTGAGGGTATTTACAAGCTTTAGAGACTCCTTCACTGAATCTCTCTGGCCTAAATTCATTTGCATCGGCTCCCCATATCTCCGGATCTCTGTGCAACGTAGGGATCAATGTCCAGATGCAAACTCCCTTTGGCACCACGAGGTTCCCAAGTTTTGTTTCCGCAAGTGCTTCTCTTGACACAAATGCTGCTGGTGGATATAGCCTCAACGTTTCTTGGATAACCATTGTCACCTATAGATGAATGCAAGAGATGTTAGGTTTAGAAAATGGTCATCTATATTTGGAGGTTGAGAGGCTTGACATACCGTCTTGAGGTTGGAAATAGAATCTGCGTCGGGAATACCATTCTTACAGGAACTCAAGACTTCATCACGAATCCGAGTTTGCCAAGAAGGGTTTAGGGCGAGGAGCATAAGACACCAAGAGACAGCAACCGCACTGGTCTCATGGCCGGCAAAATAGATGCTCTTACAATTGTCCACAACAAAACTTTTGTAAGATGATGCCTTGTCCACCAAGCTACCATCACAACTAGTCATTGCTCCTTCTAGTATCAACTGCATTAGATCCTTCTTGTGATCTCCCACACATTCTTTTTCTCTCTCTTTAACGGTTTCCCATATCAAAGAATCAATATGCTTCTCTATCTCCTCAATCTTTGCATTCCCATGCTTCTTACTCCCGAATGAAATATCACTTGCAACCATATACATAATAATCACTCAACAATACTAAATTTGCTTATTATATATAGAGATATAAAAAAAAAATATATATATATATATAGAGAGAGAGATATAAGTAAATGGTAT